ACTGACAGGCATAGACCGGTGGAGCCTTGCTGACTTCCCAAATCTCTTGGTTCTACACAAACAGCTAACACCACTACTAATGTATAGTGTCCAGAACAGAGGTGCTGCTTATAACACAGGAGGCTGGTCCCAGGCACAGACTGCATACAGCACCCTGCTAGACTGGACCTCCACACTGGCTCTGGGGCCAATCCAAATTGGGGACCACAGACTGCCCCTGCATACCAGACGCTGTGTGCAGGGCTGGTCCACCACTGCATGCAGCACATAACCTGTGTGAGCCCCAGACAAGAGATGGCTCATGCTGCATAGAGAGCTGATCAGGGACAAATGTACATGAAAGACCAGCTGGATAGGCCCTACACAGGCACTTTATGCAGCATGTGCCCCATGAGGGCTCCATACCAGGGCTGACACACACTGCTAGTCTGGGCATATACTGCATCAGATTGGCCATGTGCACTGGCTCTGGAGAGTGGGGCTGGCCTGTGGGCCTGATCCAGACCAGCCCCAAAACCAACATGCAGGGCCAGTCAGGCAAGGCACCACATGTAGCACAGAGAACTGATTTGGGTTGTGCACTGCATGTACACATGCACCCAGTCCAGCCTCATGTGCTTCATGAGTTTGACACCCGTGGTCCAGAGAACTGTGGTCCCCCATTAAGAATACTTTTTGGAAAGGAACATTTGAAGACTAAAAGCTTAATTTAGGTGCAACCCCAGTATCATTTTCTGGAAAATAAATATGGAAAATCTGCCTGTCTCCATGAATGTGACTGGGCTGTGTGAGAACACTGATTTAGCATACAACTCATTACTTTGATATCATTTCAAATAAACACACCATCTTTAGCAACAGGGAAGAGAAGAGAGCAAATTTAAAGGACTGAAAAGTCAAGCTGATTCATGTAAACAGCACCAGATCTGCCTAGTGACAGTGTAGTAGAAGACTGCTGAAACATCCTGTTGATGATGTACAGGTCAAAGCTGGACCTGATCAAGAGCAAACATGCTGAACCAGAAGAAGCACACAGTGGGAACATTTGAATATAACCCTTGAAGAGATGAAGTCACTATAGGAGTCTGTTTCAGAATGCTTATATGAAGGAGTTAGCCACCTACTAAATTGCTGGTCAAAGCTGGACTCCCCAGTTCAGAAGAGGTGGTCTGAAACAAACCCACTTCAAGAGTCAGTAAAAAAAGAGGTCAATTCAGGTCTTCCGCATCTGAACTGACTTTGGCTGCCAGTGATGGGTAGTTCATACTCTGATTAAGGCGATCTGTTACTTTTAGGAGCCTTATTCCCTGCTTGACTCACACCTTAGAAATCTTCTTCAGGAGGACAAAAGTTTCTCTTCTAGGAAATATCACTACCTACAGTAAAAAGATATGCTTTGGAATACTTCATCTAGAAAAGTCAATGTGTAAGTGTCTGCATACCGAACTTTCTAATATTGCACGACACCCCAATAAAGGACCTCATGGAGCCCCAATTGACAATCACTGACCTACAGCATTTCCCACTAGGCATCTATCTGCATCTTCAGTCACTCTTGAAAAGCTGGTCTGTGGTGAGCAGAAACAAAAAACAAAAGTAAACAAGCAAATCAATCCACTAACTACAACTTTATTCTCCGTTTTTAAATGAAAAAAAGCCTGAAGACATTTTCCTTAAGTACTCAGTATTTTATTATATTAAATCATTTTAAATGCTCTTTATGTGCATTTTAATTTGAATTCCAAACTCTATCCAAATGAAGTTTGATACACATCACAAAGCAAAAATCTGTACAGTATAGAAAATCATCATTCACAATATTCTAAAATAAAATGTAAGAATGATGAACAATTATTCAAGTTTCCTTATTCCACATGTGATTATTTAAGTATGCTGAAATAATCATATTCCTAGTGAGCGTGCAATACTTTAATTTGGTAGTTTGTTTAGGTAAAAGAAACAACTTGCTTTCATAGTTATGCCAACCACTGAGAATTAACTTTAGTAAAAAAATTAATACAAATAATAAACAAGATTAAAATTAGTCCAGCCTGAAAGAATAAGTTTCTCTAGGTCTAGATTCTTAAGGAAAAGCTGCAAATTTTGATATGTGCCACAGAACAGGAAATAGGTAATAAGTGAAAGAGGTCCATTCTTTAAAACAGTTTATCTCAACCATGGAGCCGCAGCACCCTGGGGTACCTGGCAATCCTTTCAAGGGTGGGGTGGGGTGCCACACAATAGGTACGCAAACATAATTCACAAGATAAGCCAGAGATTTTAGATGGAAATCCATAATGTCAAAATCATTCTGACATTACAGTCTTCATGATTTTTTTGCAGCAAACTAACTGCTCTATTATCTTTCTGTCGCCAAAAAACAAGTGAAAGCTAAGAGTTGGCATTTCCCAAAGGGTGCCTCAAGTCTAATAAGGTTGAGAACCACTGCTTCAAAAAGATCTGTCATCTCTGATGCTACCATAGTCACCTCTGAACTGAGTCCAAAACCTTGAAGATACCAAACAGATTCAGCTACTGGAAGAAAAAAGTCCCAAAGAGCTAAAAAAAAAAAAAAAGAGACTGAAAAAGTATAAAAAGTCTCCCTTTCAACTAAATTCTTCAAACAAGTCAACGCTTCTAACTCAAAGCACTATGTTTTTAGTCTGGAGTGATTTCTGACAGCTACGGCCAAAGACTTGAAGTGCTATACAAAGCTTAAAACAAGCTTACTCACTCCATACACATCAACTGCCAGTTCCTTTGCTGTCTGTTCAGTGTCAGGGAAGTAGAGAATAAGACTATATTCTGTTCAAAAATCAAACTAGCAGAATATGACTGATGACCCAATGACTGGCCGCAGATGTTGAGTATATACAAGTAGACTTTCCTTCCCCAATAACATCTTGGCTACTTACAGATGTAAGTAAACAAAACCAACCAAAACAAAAAAGGTGCTTTACTTTAAACTAAGCACGTCCCTACGCCATGCCTGGCACATGTCCAGAAGAAGCATCACATTAGCAGGACCTTGCTCATGCAATGTCTGTATAGATCAGGTGCTTCAGTAGAGCTTTTCTGGTGCTTTTATCCAATAGCCTATTGAATCAGTTATTAGATAAAAGGGCCAAAAAGCCCAAATGAAGTGTGTGATCTTTACAGACACTGTGGAGCCAGATAGAACTAATGTGATGCCTCTTCTGGTAAAGTGCAGTTTCGGGGTTTGTTTTTTTTTCCAGATCTGCCAGCGCCACTTGTTAGCATGTTTGTCCAATAAGAAGCCTCAGCATGTCTTATAAATCTAATTTTTTTACCAAGTGCTGAAAACCTGACCAAGGGCATACTTAATCAGATCTGGCAGCACATCATCACTGTTGAGAATTTTCCTCTCCTTGAACATTAAGGTAAATAGTCAGTCTTTTACCAGTTGAAGTTTTCAACTTGATAGTTCCAAGACAGCTGTTCTCAACCTCTTCAGACTGAAGGCACCTCTGGGTAAATGCCCTCTCATAGTTTTCACTTGTTTTCTGGCCGCAGTAAAATAAAACAGCAATTCTTCTGCTTCGGGGAACTCAGAAAGACCACAACAGGTCAGAACATTTTTAACACTGTGGATTCCTATTTGAAATCTCTGGGTTTATCTCATGAATCATATGTGCACACCTCACAGTGCTACCCCATGACACCCCTCAAGGGATCTCAAGGCAACCCCGGGTACCACAGCACCCTGCTTGAGAATCACATCTCTAGGAGTTAACAGCCTCCATCACAACCCCTTATCTCAAGTAGTGACATAAGAACAAAACAGAAATGCCCAAACACTCTGAAGTATTCAAATTGGATTTAGCTACTTACGCTGCCGTCAATTCTACATTAAAAGTGATATACTCTGAAGAGCTAGACAGTTGGAGGTAATATTCAGTCATAAATGATTTGATCTAAAACTACAAAAGCTAAAATGCCTCATTCTTTGCTTAGCAACAGCTGCATCAACTTAGGCCTCTGGATGACGTACCCCAATTTCAAGAACCTCCTTCAGAAAATACTGACTAGCAAATAGCAAAATGCCACTCCTTATTTTGGTCCCATCTTGTAAGATGTTGTGGTACTTTGAAGAACTGCCCTCCTGCCTCCAGAAGTCAAAACAATTAATTACCATCAAGCAAAGAAAGAACAGACCCTACGCAGACCCTTACCATCTGGGTCCAGAAGTTAACTGTTTTATGTAACAAATGTAAAAAAGGATGTTTTGCACAATTTTCCTTTAAAAAAATTAGCTTTTATATGACATGCCTCAGCTTTTCAAGGAGACGCTCTGTAATTGCCACATTCCCCCAAATGCTAAATCCTGCAACCTGAATAGAGTCAGGAAAGCGATAAGGCTTCTCGGGAGATTGCCATTACTGCCCAACCTTCTTAGTATGGATCTCTGAAGAGATGAAGCTAAACATTCAAAACAAGCTTTCCAGGCTGGCGTGATTTGATAAAGCAGCAGAAAGAGCTGCCCCTATTTCCTTGGCAGGTCACCCTACGAAGGCCCAGGAGAGTTGCAGACAGACACTGCATCTCCGTTGTGCTAAAATCTAACCCAAACACCAGCTCCAGGCCAGGCGCAGCCAGGCGGTGTCCAGCGCCTGGAAATTTAAACAACTGCACGGGGGGGGGACAACCCAGGACCACCCCCCCACCCTCCACGGGTTCAAAACCTGCGGCTTAGGTCCTGGCTCCCTTCAAAAACCAGACCAGGCAGCCCCACGCTGCAGAGCCGGGCGGGGGAGGGGGCCGCGCTGGCTGCCGCCGA